TCATGTCACAAGAACTTCCAACTTCCTCCTTCAAATATTAAGCATCTGCAGGTAAGAATCAGTCTCTGTCTATCTGTTTCCCGAGAAAGGAAGGCAGCAGTCAAATGCTTTATTTTCTTTGTTTTCTCAGAGGTGATTTGAGGGCATTGATTTTGGAGCCAAAAGGGGGAAAAGTGCTGTTACAATATGTTATGCTCCACCTGTTGAGTTCTTTGCAAGGATGTTCTTGAGGCTCGTCATGTGGCCGGGCTTTCAGAAGGACCATGGAATTACTTGAGCTCAGCTGTTTTTGAAACTGCTACAAAGAGAGTAAAGAGAGTTTATAGATGAGAAGCAAGTGGTGCCAGATTAAAGCATGATGCATTGAAGAAATCAGAAGTTATGGTGTGCTTTATGCACTCTTCACCTTATTAAAAGAAAGTGCAGGTCTCCAGTTCTCACTGATCTCAATAAAGTCTCATACTATGTATCATTAACCGTGACCTCAGCAGCTAATGCTATAAAACTGTTCATTTGCAGGGTAATTATAAATATTTTCATATATGTGACCCAAACTGTATAAGCCCTAGTAAATAAGTGGCCAGAAATATCATCTTCAGCTACTTCACCTGTCTTACCTATATAGTTGCCAGAAAGAGGGAAAATAGTCAAGAAAAACACAAATTGAAAACTGTGTATTTTTCTTTCTCTCTTACTTAAATATTTTAATTTTTGCAAGCAGTAAAGTATTTTCATAATCTGATCAGTTCAGTCAAAAATTGATATTCATTAATACAAATTCAGCATGAATAGAAAGCTAGCAAAGCTAATTATGGAGCAAAAAGGGGAGCCAGTTACAAAGTTCTCTCTGCATGAAGCCATGACCTAGAGTTTTATAACACAGGGATAAAAATTCTCTTTAAAATATTCCATTTCACAGGCCAAGGCAATATATTCCCATGTCTTTCTAGGTAAAATCAAACACAGGATTTCAGAATGCCCATGATCATGAGCTCCCAGGCTGAGCACCATGAGTGTATAAATGCCCATGAATATGCTGAGAAGTTGATTCTTTCTCAGTGGAAGAAGAAGAACTTAGAACAGTCATTTTGGTGACTCTTTGGTGACAGTCACACGCAGATATGCTGAGGGCTGTTCATTGACACAGCTCTGTCTCCAGGGTCCTCTGGCACAAATGTGTTCCCAGAAGGTCAGAACAAGGCATGTGGGACCAAAATGCTCAGGCTAGACTTCCAGTGTTTGGGGTGGGGATCATCTGCCTTCACAAACTGCACCAAACTAATTAAATGAGATTCACAATCTATTCAGTTAAATGGTCACAATTTCCCGAATTAGTGCCAAGTGTGACTGATGCTTAAATTGAGTTAAAGTAAATTGATAAAAAGCCTGCTGTAGTCTTTTCTATATGTCAACATTGGATTAGTTAATTTTTCAAGTACAATCTGACATATGCACCCTTCTTTGCTTTTCCTGGTGTGTTGCATCATTATAAAGTTGATTAAACTGCTCTTCTCACGCGTTCTAGAAACAAAATTGGCAACATCTACTTAAAACACCTTTTTAATGGTACATCTTTATTTGCACAAAGGATTTGTGCCAGGGTAATTAATTTAATTTTTTAAAAAACCCAGCTTTGACACTTGATAGAAACACTTTCATAGGCACAAAAATATATTTACAAACATAAATTTGACTATGAAGTAGACTAAAAGGAGAAACATTAACTTATGTAAAAGCTTTTTATTGAATGCCTTTACCATGCAATTACAGAGGTTCAATTTCTATGTGTTAACCTGGGCCTCCCACTGATTTTTCAGGTTTGACGTGGGGTGAGGTACGTGTAGAATGAGGGAAACAAATACCCATTTTGGTAAGCCTTTGAGAAATTCAAACAGCAGGCACTATGCAAGCATAAAGTATGATTATTGCTATTTTACTCATTCAACAGTAAGTTACACAACAAAATAGCAGAAGCACTCTTGAAAATATGAATTTCCCAACAAGCTGTAGGAAGAAGCTTAAATTATTTTTCTCAAAGTAGCTCACTGTGAAACCAGCTGTTCTAAATATGAGTCAGCAGCCTTCCTGGAGTCAAACCCTCCAGCACCCTTCTAAATTCACACTCATTAAAAATGTTCATCACCCTGGTATAGAAGTCCCTTAGGTATTTGCCAAGCAGTGCTGTTAATACAAGGATAAAGAAAAAAAACCCATGTGTGCTTCATTGCAATTACTTTGAAGAGAGAAGACATTCTTCATTATTTCAGTTACTAGTCCCCACAGGTTTGTGTCATTATCTGATGAAAATGTCCCTTTTTAATTGTTTGAAGGCATAGTCAGAGGGACCAGTGTGACAGACAATTTTCTACAGAAAATCCCATTCTCTTTTGCTGGGACTGTGGCAGTAAACCTGCCACCTGCCCATCACCAGTGCATGACTGCAGGCCTTCTCCTTGCCCCTGCAATGCTTAGTCCCTTTTGGAGTGCATTTTGGAGGCGTGCTTAAAACTAATTTTGTTGTAAAACATCCTGCCCAAATAGCAGAAGTATCCTATAGTATCATTGCCTCTTCCTTCTGTTCAATAGATTTCAATCTTTGAATGCATGCACAAAACATTTCTGTGGAGGAAATTGCCATTACTCATATGTAGCTGCAGGGTTGCTGTCTGTAGTTAGCAGTAAGAGAGTCTGTGGAAAGATGTGAGCCACAAATATGTATTGATGACTAGCAGGGTCTGCGGAGAGGTTGCAATGAGGCAAATTTCTTTTAGAATATTTGAGGATTGTGTTTGTTTACTTTGCTGTAAAACTTGAACCTGGATTTCCATTTTCCTGTGAGGAAAGAATCCTTTCAGTAACATCACAGCTAATCCAGCTGGTGCCATCTTTTGTGCCTGTTGAGTGGCACTTGCTAGATCCCTTCAGATGTAGCAGGAGTGATGCACAGCCTTGAACACAAAACTGACCACCTCAGATGCCATGTGAGGAGAGAGGAATAGCCTCTTCCGTTCTACACAGGTGAGCTCAAGCTCCATGGGTGATGCAGAGCCAGGGCATGTGGGCTGCTCCATTCCATCTCCCCTGGGAACCTCCTGGGGCACATGAAATGCAAGGGGACATCCTCATTTTTCCCAGTGGATTTGAGTACCAGGCAAAAAATCATTCAGAAATGCATCCAGCCTAAAATCCCATTTGTCCCTGGGCCTTTAAGTTCATTCTGCCTGTCTCTTGGTCTCTCCAGAGATGTCTTGGAAAAGGAAATACTGGGAATAAGCCTATAGCTAAAATTTACCTTTACCAAATTATGAGCCTCAGCACTTGTCTGGGGAATATTTGGGAGTAACAAGGGTACTGTAAATTCATGCCCAGACTTGCTGAGCACTCACTCAAGCCCTCAGAAGTTACTCACCAGACTTTTCATGGCCAATACCTCAAGTATGCCAGTAGAAAGAGAAGGCAGTTATTAACAAAAGATTGAATATGCATGTTGAGAGTGCACATAGGTGAATTTGCCTCAAAATGAATGTAAGAACATTTCTAAAAACTATGGCTGGAATCCTTGCTGTGAAGTAAAGCTTTAAACAGAGATTACAGGCAGTAATGATATCCCAGAAGAAAACATCATCATAAAAAATTATCAGGGTTTGCTCTGGTATTTCAAGTAAGGTAGAATTTATGCAGTAGTTAATGCCTGGAAATTTTGGAAGGAGGCATATCTATGCCTGTGATTGGGATAAACTGTGTCTTCATTAACAAAAAATACAGCCAAACAGGAAGATATTGTAGAACACAACAGATGCTCACAACAGAGCACCCAAGCTCAGCAGATCTGGGAGCTGGAGATAATTACTCTGGTCTGCCTGTAACGTGGTCCTGTGCATTAGACCCACACCAGGAGTGCATTTTCCAGTTTTGTCTCACCTGCAGGGAGTCCTCAGCTGTGTGATCTCCTTGCAGTGTGATCAAAGGGGAGAGGGTGAAATTCCCTTCAGGAGAACTTGAGGGAAGGTGATGAAGGAGAGGTACCTTCTTTCTTACACTGATTCTAATCCCATTCCTGACTGTGACTCCCCTGCTTAGTTGGGATTTATCATTTACCTTTCCAGCATGATGGGACTTGGAACACTTCACTCATTTGCCACATGGGAGATGCTTAATGGGTTCACAGGATTCATGTCTGAACTAAGCAGCTCCAGTGTGCTGTGCTGATGGGACTGCAGAAGGAAAAGACAAAGGAAATGATATCTCTTCTTTATCCATCCTGAAATAAAGCTGTAAATTGTGTTATGATTTTGTCAATATATGGTGCTTGCAAAGATTTCAAATAAATAATGATTTGACCCCAGGGTCCTTATTGATTTTGTAATGATTTCAAAGAGAAACCACTCAGTTTACTGTTTGCTGACAAATTCTTTACTCCCTAAGGAATTCCTATTGAACATGTATTTAGGACAGGATAAAATAATTCCAAGGAAATACAGAGAGAGGGCTTTGTGCATAGACTGCTCCACAAATCAGTATTTAACCTCTGACCAGTGACAACAGGTCTCCTTTAGCTCTATTAGATCAACAGCAAGCTATTATAATTAAATATAAAAACTGTTTAGAGCCTCACCGAACATGTCCTGGGAATTAAAGCATATGGCAGGGATAGGATAAAAAGACTTTCCATATGCTAATGACCCTAGATGTCTGAAATAAATTAGATCCATTACAGTTTATGCTCAATAAAAGAAAGACTTTAAGCACTCCAAAGTTAGTGACTCGAGACCGATTTTGGCTTAGAAATTCAATCTGCCTGCTTATTAATTCTTAGGAAGGCTCTGGAGGAGACAGGGGATGCAAAATCATAATTCTGTGCTGTATCAGAATTTTAAAGTGCCATCAGTTTCTTTTTCTTCTTTTCCTTTTTTTTAATTAAACTATTTTTCATGCTTCATTTTTTTTGTTCTCCTCATTTGATTTTGTTCCCATTTTTGTTTAATTTCTTTCTTTTTAAGGTTTCATTTATCCTATTTCAACTGAACAGAGAACCCAGAATGAATATGGATTTTCTTGTAAGTTTAATGTTTGATTTTATGTTCCTGGATGCTAATTTGATGCTGTTCCTTGGGTCAGGCTTTACTGTTAGGCCAGTTCAGTATGACTAGGCAAAAAATGGACCTATTCAGCAGGGTGACATTCTGCTTGCTTGACAGCAGGCACAGTGCTTTGCAGCAGATACAGCCTTTGTGCACGAGCGAAATGGGAGATAATGTTACCTCAGAGACAGAAACTGGAGAGAATGAGCCATCTTCTCATTAAAATTCCCTTAGCAACTGGATGGAGTGTGGTGGAAGGGTAACTTGTCTTTGAGCTGGAACTCAAGAGTTCTGCTCCCTGAACTGCTGGGTTAAAAATGGGATGTTTCAAGTTTGGTAAATTGAAGGTCTGGTAGCCTGGAGCTGTCAGAGATTGATCAGTTCCTTTCTGCATCTACCAGCTCTCACCTCTGCAGCTGGAGGGCAGCTTGGCTTAAATGGCTAAAAGAGATAAAAATAAAAGTGATTTCACATGTTTCAAACCAACAAAAATAGGGTACTAAAAGAGTCTGATTTGTTTTTACACTCCCTTTTTTCATTAGGCTATTTATAAAAATGGGATTTTTCACTGTATAGAAGTACATCAATTTTTGAACACATATTCAGACCTTTTGGGAAAAAAATGTCTGCTGGATAATGATGCTAGAGATTAGCTTGGAATTGGTGCTGAAGATATGGTAGAAGCAGCTAGTAGAAATATCATAGCCATTTCTTCACAAGACAGATCTAATAAATTTTTGTTCCTTTTGGTAAATCACCCCATTATTTCTTGTGCTTACTTCAGCTTTTATCTTAATATGTATGTGTTAATGCCACTGATAAGAATTCAATGCTTGATTCTCTGCTTTACTAATTTACTAGTTTATATTTTTGAAGGCAAATGGATGGAAGGGAGTAAAGACAGGTTGCATTTCAAACAAAACACCAAACCAGCCAAAGATATGTACCTGAATAGTCCATAGAAAATGGAAATTTTGGGTTCTTTTACATTTTTTTAAGTAAAAATAAGGCTTCTGAAGTTTTTAAACCCACATGTCTTTGGTATCAGATGAACTTCTAAATATCAATATTAGGACATTATGTCACTAAGACATAATCTCATTTCCTAGGGTGAATTTGGTTAATAAAAGTAAGTCTATAGCATGTTTTGCTTAGTAGTTCACAGCCTGAGTATTAGATAGATGAACAAGTTGATAGGTAAAGAGTTAGAACACAAGTTAGAGAGAAATCAAGGATTGTTTTCTACCAAAAGGGCATAGAGCTGCTATATGGTGTTGGAAATGGATTTTAAATTAGCCTGTAAAAAAGGCAGTAAATGTCTGCAGGAAATGAGAATAATAAGAACATGTTTTCTTGAAAGTCCCTGTAAAGAGGACATTTCTTGAAGGTTCCTGGCCTCTCTCCCTGCAGCTGCTCCTGATTCAGATGATGTTGCGCTCTACGTGGGGATCGTCATCGCCGTGATCGTGTGCCTGGCCATTTCTGTGGTCGTGGCCCTGTTTGTCTACCGCAAGAACCACCGGGACTTTGAGTCAGATATTATTGACTCCTCAGCACTGAACGGGGGATTTCAGCCTGTCAACATCAAGGCTGCAAGGCAAGGTTAGTTGGCATTTCACTCTTTCACTCCATTTTGACCAATTCACCGAGAAGCTATCAGGTTATGGTCTCTTGGGCTGCATGAATGATATTGCTGGATGCCTGTTGACACTTGGTAAAGGGGAGAAAGATCATGTTCATTTGTTTCTGATTGTCTAATGCTCAAAACCTATGGTGGCATTTGTTAGCTGTGCTCAAGAGTTAAAGTGGGTGAATTTAACTTCTGAAGAGAGATCATGAATGTGAGATTGAAACTCAGACACTTTTATGGAAATACAGGTCCAGCTCAAGTTGAAATCAAAGGCAAAGCTCTGACAGAAACAGTAGAGGAAGGATGCATCAGAGCAGTGATACTACAGTAATTCTCCCTCCCCTTTATTTCACTATTAGCTTTTCTTCCTATGCCCCGTCTCCACTGGTATAAACAGTAGTTTGAGAGGTACTGTGCATTTAATAGAAAATGTAGAAGTTGTGGTAGAACATCATTTAATAATGAATATTTTTATCACTGGTGTATAACAGCCTGATTTTTTTTCCTTGCTTCATTGGTCAGGAAAAAACCTTTAAAGGTAGTGCTGCCTTTATCAAGACACTTATTTAGGCTGAAGTATTCCTTTTTTTTTCCACAATATCTACACCAGAAGAATATCTAGAGCATGAAAGTTGGGATGACAAGGGAGTTGTCACATGTTAGATTAGCAGAATTGTTTTCTTTGCTGGAGAAACTTTTAAAAGCAAATCTTAGAAAAGCGTGATGCAGATACTAATCCCCCACTGCAGGAAGTCATGGGCATGATGACTTCATAGGCTTGTTGCCTTTTATTTCAGGAATGCTGTCATTAGCCCAGTTAGAAAAATTGGCTAATGATTGTTGTATAGCATTTAGGAAGGGGGCTTAGTTAAAACTAGATCTACTGAGCAATAAAAACATCTTGCCCCGAAGCTAAGCATGCCATATTTAGAATCTGAGTGCAGCTTGGAAAAATACTCCCAGTGAAAACTCTTCAGAGCACAAATATGCTGTAATTTTGTACAGCAATCGGATTCCAAAGCAGCTGGGGTAATAGGAGCGCTGGGAGTTTGTTGAGAATTCATGGAAATGGAGATGAAGGTTCAGGAACTTTGTGTATCTGAACGTTTGGAATGAAAGACAAAATGCAAATGCAAACTGAAATTGTTGCTTGGAATAAAGTCATCAGAACAGAGAAATAACATGTTTCTTCCTTCTCATCTCCACTGCAGACCTCCTGGCAGTGCCACCAGACCTCACTTCTGCTGCAGCCATGTACAGGGGTCCTGTGTACGCCTTGCATGATGTCTCTGATAAAATCCCAATGACCAACTCTCCAATTCTGGACCCCCTCCCCAACTTGAAGATCAAGGTTTATAACACCCCCGGTGCAGTCACTCCCCAGGATGACCTCTCTGACTTCTCCTCCAAGCTGTCCCCACAGATGACACAGTCTCTGCTGGAAAATGAGACCCTGAACATGAAGAACCAGAGTCTTGCCCGGCAAACTGACCCATCATGCACCGCCTTTGGGACATTCAACTCCTTAGGAGGCCACCTAGTAATTCCCAATTCAGGTAAGTGCTAGCCATGCTGGCCTAAAGGTGCAATTGTCTTGTGGGTTTAAGTGGTGTTAGCTTGTTTTTATATGGGGAAAGAAAGTCTATATTTGGGACTCTGCCTTTTCTTTGATCAAAACAAATAGATGGGATTTTTTCCCCCACCATTTGCATCTACAAAAGTACTTTGAATACTTTCTACCCAAAGCTCTGTCTTTTAAACACAGCTGAGGAAGGCTTGGGCCCCTCACTACAAGAACTTGGGTCTTAGGAGTAGTAGCTGAGGGAGCTGGGGTTGTGTAGCCTGGAAAAAAGGAAACTGAGGTGACCTTATCCCTTTCTACAACTGCCTGAAAGAAGATTTCAACAAGGTGTTTGGTCTCTTCTCTCAAGTAATACATAGGAATGTGATCTAGTGGTGAACACTGCGATGTGTTAATGATTAGATTTGATGGTCTCATTTAGGAAGAGGTCTTTTCCAACCTAAATGATTGTCTGACTCTAAACAGAAGATTTCAGGGCTCTTAGCCACTTTCTGAGACATGCAAGGCTTGAGATGTCAGAGCTCCCCTATGTCAAGTGAAATTCAGCATCACCTTTTCCTTTCATGCAGTTCTAGAAAAGGGATTTCAATACAGTAAGCCTCTGTTTTGTCATCACACTAAAAGAGAACAAATTAATTTAAAAACAACTTGGTTGCTCCACTTCAATTCATTGCAGACTATGTGCAGTTGAAGTAGGACAACAGAACACCATTTTTGGAGATTTTTTACCTGTATTTATTGTTGGCTTGATTTACAATTATGAAAGAGAGGGACTGAGCATTGAGGGCCTATTGATGTAACGCAACATGCTGCTCAATCTTTCTCATACCTGACTTTCTCAAGTCAGGTTTCCAGGTGCCTTCAGGCCACCCTGATATCAGCAGTTAATTTCAGAGCATCCAAGGAGCTCTTGAGCAGCCTTGGGAAAAGCTCAGGTCTTTTAGATAGATTTCTAGCAGAGCCATGCTGCTGCTTGGTTCCTACATGAACTGTTGATGTTCTTTCTAAGGAAGTTCAGCACTTAAATGTTCCCATGGGTTTAGCATGACACCGCAGAACAGTATTAATACCTAAAGTGAGAATGAATCAAATGCAGAAAGTATTTGATGTGATGAATAGGCATAACAGCTTGATTTTCAGGAACCAAGGTCAGGAACACACCTGCCCAGTTTCACTGGGACTCTGAATTCAGGTAGGACCACAGTACATGTGAGACTGCAGTTCACAGCTTGGCCATTTTACAGCAAATGTCCTCACCGAGGAGATGGTGCCTACCCTTGTCCCCTGCGTCTTTGCTGGATCATTTTTTGTTGATGTTATGGAGGAAGCAGAATGCCTTGGTGGCCCAGGACCAGGGTGGTTTGGTTCCGTGATGCAGTCCTACACTGCCCATGAAGCATCCAAAAGTGCTTGGACCCATAGCCCTGCTCTCTGAGCTCCTGTCTAATGGGAAGCAAAAATACCTATTAAATTTAAGTGAAAGCTGAACTACTTCAATAAATCTGGTGCTGACTGATGAGCAATGTTGAAAATTTGTGCTATTCAATCTTGGTTATTGCATTTTTCTAAGTAGCAGCTGAAGATAGATATTGATGCTCAGTTTTCATATGCCACAGAGGTGCACATAATCAGCAAAGTCTATTAGTCACTGTTAATTCACATATATTAATATCAATTTGTAAAGAAAAAGCATTTGATGCTGTAATCACTTCAAAATGATTAAAGTAATGATTCTGTAAAATAAAATAATCTGTCTGCTACTACCTTGTATGTCTCTATGCTGCTTCTAAATGTATGTCGTCTTCAAGATATGATCAAAGCCCTTCATTTGCAGTACACCTGCCCTGTTACAGCTGCAAGCATTCACAGGTTAGGTTGTAACAGGCCTGTAAAAACACAAGTGCCAGAAGGCATTTGTGGAAAATGCTTTCCTAACTACCCCTCTCCTTCAAAGCTAAGTATGGGACTGAGGCCCTGCACACCAACATATGGAAGGTGTCCAGTGTAACCAAACTGTGAATGCTAAAGAAAAGTGGCAGAGCTATGCAAGGTGTCTATAAAATATCTCTAGAGTAAACACATATATGTAAATAATCTTTCTCTAGGTTTGTATTCAGCTATGTGGCAAATCCTTGCCATTGATTTCGAGCTAATCCACATCTACCAATAGATTTGGCTGAGATGTGTCCAGCAGAGTGAAATAACCAGTTCATGGGCCATGTTTGTTGTGCTCAAGACATCTCTTAAATGGAAGTAATGTAAGAACAGTGTTTTTTAATCAAGTGTGCAGCAAATCATTAGTGAAAATGACACTGAGCATATTTGCCCATGTTTTTTTCAAGGTTGCATATCCCAGTTTTGGGCCACTCTACAGGACTAGGCACTTGCAAAAACCAAGCCCAGTTCTGTCTTCCTGACAGACTCAGTTCTTCCCTAGGAACTGAGTTCCTCCCTAGGAACTGAGTGCATTAAAAGACAGGATGCCAGACACAGAAGCCATCTTTCAGGAAACAACTAGTTCTTGTTGCTTCCTGGGACAGTGCTCCACTGCTTTTCTTTCCTGATCTTAATTAAGTAAGAATTGCCTAGGGAGAGAGATGTCCTATTACAGCTGTTGGAAATTTTAGTCAGAGTTGTTTGCTTTTCCATCATTTTACAAGGTAAGCAACAGCATAACCATCTGTCTGCTCTTTAAATAAAATGAAAGGGAAGAAAATCTTCTTCTCCATTTCTGTTTTTCAGTGCACAGGAAAAAGAACAGGCAGCTGGACACTGAAGACACCAGGGTTACAGTAAATTTTTCTCGCATTTTGCTGAGGTCATTTACAGTCTGATGGTGAGGATGGCTGAAAATCTGGCATTGCAGGCTTCATCTTCTGACACTCCTCTTCACAGACCCACTCACCTCTTTTTTCTTCATCTTATCTTTTGTGTCTCTTCTGTTCTGCAGGAGTAAGTTTGCTGATCCCAGCGGGAGCTGTTCCACAAGGGAGAGTCTATGAAATGTATCTGACAGTTCACAGGAAGGAGAACATGAGGTAAAAATTGCCTTATTTTTCTTGTGCACTAATAAAGGGGGGAAAACACAGTACCTGAAGATTTGTGATAATAATACTTATGCAAAGCCTACTGCACTGAAGCTATTTGCTGACTTGGAGGTAAGCATGAGCAGATCCAAGGATAAATTTTGCCACAAAACCAGCTCAGACATTTGCTTTCTTAACCAAATGTTGCACTCTGCAGCAAGTCCTCAGGCCAGGCGGATGCTGAATTGTAGAGGAGCAAGGAAAATATGCCAGCATGAGTTTGTGCAGCAGAGGTGTGAAGTAGCCTCTTGATAAAGACCTGTTCTGCAAAGGAGAAGGGAGCAGAGGACAAAGGTAAATAAATCAGCTCAGCAGAGGGACAGTTGCCTGAGCACTGGACTTGGAAAATCTCCTCTCCTGTTAGAGTGAAGGTGAACTTTTATTTTACCATTCACAGGCTTGGCTAGTCCATGCAGAGGATGGAGCCAAAGCTTTTAAGCAGCACCTCCTCGCTGCTTAGCCCCAGACAGTGCATGCTGAGGGCACCCAGAGCTGATGCTGGGATGACCACTGTTGTCTCCTGTTACCTGAATGTGCAGACAATTCATATTCTAGATCTTAATGTCTACTGGCATGTGATCTGGCAACCTTGACATTAGCAATAATTGTTTACAAAAAGGCCAATATACCATTTGGAGCCAGTTAGAAGACCCTAATGTAGAGAAAGGTGAGATCTTAGATTGCAGAATGGACTCATGTGCAAAGGCAGAATGGCAAATGTGAGGCAGTCATTACACGGTACTTTGCCTCTTTCTCCTCCTCATAGCTAGATACGTTTTTTGGCTCAGCCTCTTAATAGCTTTTATTATGTGCTAAGCCACAGCTGTTTATACACTGTGTGATATTGAACACTATTCTTTAGCTTGGTAGTCTTTCACCCAAGCTAAAATAATCTGCTTAAAGAAAAATTAAGTAATCCTTCCACCCACCCTTTTGCATACATTATTCATCAGCTGCTCTTTGAAAATAGCTAATTGCAGCTACAGAAAAAATGTCTCTGTTCATAATAATCATAGTATTGATTATATTCCTATTACTTTTGGCTGTGAAAGAGGTTTACAAACAATATTGAACAAAGACACTTTCCTGAGGAAGGAAAATAAAATCAGATTGCATCCTTTGTTATTGAGCTTGCTTCTAAATCTCCTTTTCCAAAATACCTAATTAAAAAAAAAAATTATTTAATTCATAGAAGGTGCTATATATGCAATTATTTTCTTTCCAGTCATTATAGAGGAAATCCCTGTTACTTTATTCATGCAGCTGTGGACAACTAATGTCACATACTTGTCTAATTTATTTTCTTCAAGGATCATAAAGCTGCCTCTGCGTGCTTTGTGAAAGCTGTAACTCAGCAAGTCACGCAGAGGATAGAAGGATAGATTAACCTGTGTTGGGAAACATGGCTGGAGATGTGCTGCCTGCCAGCCTGAGCAAGTATGCCAAAGGACACCTGCAGAAGTAAACAGAATGTTGTGAATCCTCACTTACAATGAAGATTTTAGATGTGATTTCTTTCCCTGGGAGAGGAGAGCAAAGCAGTCTGCCTTGGAGCAGCAGGGCTCATTTTATTGTGGAGGCAGTCACTTTCTGGGTGCACAGAGTCCAGCTGCTTATTTGATTTGTGGCAGTTTTTCAGAAAACACGCCAGGCTCCTCATACTCTTGGAAAGCAGCTTCTTAAGGACATTTAAGATGGAGCTCATTGGATGTTGTCTAGATTACTTGGAACAGAATATTTTGCCCTCTTTCCCCAGGTGCCAAGGAGCAGAAGGGGCTGGGAGGCACCCAGCTGTAATGTTCTCCTGCTGCAGGACTGGTTACCAGGCACTTCACTTCTGTAGCAGAGCTACAGCTCAGTCAAAGCTTCTTTTTGGGACTGCATGGGCCACAGATGTTGCTTCATATAATTGGAATCATATGGGTACCACAAGTTGCTGTGTGGCGTATTTATTTTTTAAATCAGCTACTGCACTCCTGCAGCACTCTAGCAGAGAGTGATAGTCCCCAGTAAGGACGAGCTGCAGACATTTACTTGCATGGCCAGGCAGTAACTGCAGTGTGTTCGACAAACCCTGTGAGACCCTGTATTTATTTTCATGAGCACTGTGCCAATGTGTACGACTTGAAAAGTCCTGTTATATGTTGATGTTGTTTGGAAGGAGACACACAGGAAATTATAAAATGTGTGTTATTATCAGAAATGAAGGCAGTCTTGTCCTTGATAATACAATTAGCACTGAGGCAAGAATGTAGTCTCCACAGTGCTGCCCCAGCAGAACCAGGCCAGTAACAGAGAGGGTCCCCACCCCAGCTCACATATCTCCAACAACTTAAGATCCAGCTCACACTTTGTAGAACTGTGAAACTACTTCTGAATAGTCAAGCTGAAACAGAAAATATGTTATCTCTCAAACACCTGCAAATTTCCCTTTTATTTTCCTTTATTTTCATATTAAATTTCCCCAGTTAGTCTCTGAATCTGTAGTACAGAAATGAGACTTCACAACCCAGTAATGCCACTCCTTGTGCTGCCTTGCAGATTGGTTAGAAGAGCTTTCTGAAACAGTGTTTATTCAATTTCATATCCATCAAAGCATGTGAGAGCAGGAAGGTCACCCTAAAAGCATTATCCTTTGGCAGAGATTTAAGGTTCTGATAGCTTGCAGTAAACACCATTGGAGGTAGTTGTTTCTTATAAGTCTGTCAGCATACTCGTGGCTCAGTGTGGTTTCTCTTCTTCTGGGCTGATGCTCCAGGAGAGTGTTATCCCTGCTCCTGTCCTGCAAGCTCACCCTCGTTCTTCCTGTCATGTGGGGCAGGATGGATGGCAGGCAAATCCCAGGCTCTGATCCCTGGCTGGTGTGTTGACCTCATGAAAGATCCACATCCTTCATAAAACAGCTACAGTGGGGAAAATTATATAGGGATGTTTATTTGTAGACATATATGTACACATGCAAAAACATGTATACATCTATACATGTATACGTATTTATGTAGGTGTTACTTATGTATGTGTAACTGAAAAAATGACAATCCTATGAGAATATATCACAGCTATCAGACAAGTTTCTCTCAAAGCTGTGTCTTTCAGTGGTGAGCAGATGCCCTCTCTTAGTCTGGGGAAGTATCACCAACTTTGAGATTTGCAAGGAGTCCCTTTCTTGAGTAGTGGTTTCATCTGTAAAATCAGCACATTATGTTGGCCAGTACCTGGTAAGAACCTGTTCCCATGAGCATCTGTGAGAGCCTGGCTTTTACAGATTAAGTGATTTATTTAATTAATCTTTAATTTAAGAATTAAATAGCATAAGTATAAACCTTATAAACCTCCAGCCTCCAGGACTTGACTGCCTCAGGTTAAAAAACATATCTTGCTGTGAGCTAAATTAGCGGAGTTGTGTTTCCTTCAGAAACATCTGGCAGTGGTCAGTGCTAGATGGGGTCTGGGCCTTGATGGACCACTGGTTTTATCTTATGTGGCAGTTCCTGTGTTCCTGTGTAAACCCCTGCTGAGATCACACAGCTTTAGGTGGAGCTACTCTTGCATGCTCTAATCAGAGACAGGAACTGCACAAAACAGCTACAGCTCTGTGAAGGACACTCCTGTATAATCCATCACACAGGAGGTGTTCCAAATGAGAGTGGAGGTCACAAAATGTGTCCACAAAATTTGACAACCCTGAGCCTGAAGATCTTGATGGAATGTGCAAATTTCAAATTAGCTACCTTGAAAGAGAAAAGGGTCAAGTGAGCCTAGCCAGGATTTGTATCAAAGGCTTAATAATGTATGCATAGAGTTTAATATAAAGTCAAGCATCTGATCAATGATTGTGATCCAAGGAGTAATGTTGCTTTTTCACCAGTAAATCTTAAGCTTACTGATGTGAAATAAAAGAAATTGAAATCTTCCACATTTCATTTCCCCACCTTCCTTATCTAAGTTGCATAAACAAAATTACTTTGCAACTCCAGAAGACAATTTCTTGAAGTGCCAGTCACTATAATTGAAAAATTCAACATGAAAAAGACCAGAGCATGAGAAAAAGGGAGGGCAAACTTTCTAGAAGTATTTTTCTTCTGAAGATAGACTGTCAGAAGAAGCAGGGTCTGTCAAGAATATTGTTTGAAACGTAAGAATGAACACATATCAAAAAATAAAGCCCCAGAAATGAAAGGAGAAATAAAATATCTTCCCTCTAACTTTTGTCTAAGCTGTGTAGAAGGGTTGCAACCTGTTGTTATGCAATAGCCATTCCTCTCTCCCTGCTCCATCCTGTGCTTCCTGAGCTGCTGTGATTGCCTGGAGCACAGTGGCAGGGAGCACAGTGTAGTCCCACTGAGGAGCAGAGATTTATCTAGTTGTGCTCACATCTGCTGTCTGACAGCTACCTTAATGAATATGGTCTGGCTTATTACAGGGAGACAGTTTCAAATGAGTAATCCTATTAAAAACACAAATTTGATTGTGAAGGGACCAGATATGGTGAATAAAAGTTTGTTTGCTTTTAAATATAAGTTGACTGTTCTTGATAATCTCTGAGGGATGGGAAAATATCTAAAAATATTTTAGAATGAAGACCTTTCAGTTACTGTTAGTGCCTTTTAATAGAAACATGAAGCAGTGAGTTGAATTTTAGTCTCAGTCTCTTTGTAAAACAAAAACATCTCTTTGTTTTTGGAGTTATACTGAGTGGCCAGTCTCCTCTATTGTTATCCTAAGACTTCTGCAAACCTAAAGTCAAACCCATGTTGATGGGGATTTTTGTAGGGGATTGGGTTTGGGCTTTTTATATTTGGATAACAGCCTAAAAGATTGCTCACAGTTTTGATCATTTCTGCTCATAAGTTTATCTCCCTTGCTCTATAAGCTTCCCTGTGGCTCTGTTTGTGCTGGATCTCCCAAAATCTATAACACATAAATCTCAGTGTTGGTCATAACACATGCCCCTCTAGGCTGGGATCCTGGCTTTGCTGGTGCTGCATCACCTATTTTAGGAGAAGGAATAAAATTGCCTGTAATGAGTGACTACACAATAACTTGTCTTCAGGGAAATTTGTTGTTTACTAATTCCATGAATTACTGTTGGTTTATGCTTTGAAGAATGATTAATATCCCTTGTATAATGTATCTTGTCTACTGCATCTGTTTCTGTTCTCATTAGCTGTAGTAAGGCATAATCCTTTTGTTTTAAAATGGAAATGTAAAACAGTGAGATGTGGCAAAATATTTGTTGGAAGATTTTTGTTCCCTTTTCCTGTCACTTTTCATAGGGCACCTCTCTTCTGTCTGTGCCATTGCATTGTCTAGCCTCATTCCTCTGAGTTTCAGGTGTTTATTTCTGAGATCTCGTGGTGGTCCCTAAACACACTGCAGCTACCTGCAGCCATGGTAGAGCTGGAGAGGAAAGGGAATATCACTGTGATGTGTTCTGATATGCCTTGTCCCAGACAGTGCCAGAAATCAGATTTGCTTCTTGTCACTGTGTCACATCACGTGTTGATGCCGGCTGTGTTGGAGCAAGCTCACCTGAAATGTTGTTACTGTTATTGCTTTATTTGTTACTATTTGTTTGGAACTTGTTTTGTTCCAGCCTGAGCTACTGTACAATTAATAAAATTTTATTTCCTACTCAGATTTTTACCCACTCTAGAATTTTGCTATTGTCTTCTGGCTTTCACTGTTACTTGCAGTGATTCCTTATTAATTGTTACCTGTAAATGTAATGACTGTGTTTTCCACATTGTGGGTAGAAATCCCAGCCTCACAGTAGTCAAGAGAGATTTAGTATTCACTTTAACAGAGCTGGGGTTTCACCTCAACAGTGACAGGGACCCACTTCACACACCTGGAAAACTTCTCTGCAACTCACTGTAGCTCAGTTTTTAAAGGTTTATCTGAATGAGGTGGATGTTGGAGAGTCACTAGGACCAGCAGGGATTCAGTAATTTTATGGTGCCAGTCTCTGATGTGTGTGTGTGGTTAGGAATTTGGGATTGTAAAGTCAAGCACCCGTACAACTGGCCCATTCTTTTGCTCTTCACTAATCAGACTGTTCTCTATCATAAATACCCAGGTCAGGACCATTCATATCTCATCCACTTGGCGATAAATCTTCTAAGTCTGGTGATAAAGATGCTGTTTATGAACATGGGGAAAAAATATTAAGTCTTGATATTTTTAACATGTCCTTTGTATGCTTGCATCCACCTCCCATCTCAGCTCCTCACTCTGCAGTCTGCAATGCATCCTGGCTTGGTGTTCTGCATAATCATTTTGTACTTGTTCTAATCAGCTATAAAATGTTGCAGCACAGAATCATGCCCTTCATCAGAGTCCTAAAATCTGACAGTAAAAAGATTTTGGCATGAAGCAGTGACTAAACTTAACTTTACTTGGAGACAACTTCATACTGTATGATTTAACACTAACATATTATTTTAATGACCTTTTGGGTTTTTTTTTGACTGCAGGCATCAGTGCTTGTAGATTTTAATTGATTTTCCATGTAAAAAGCATCATATTAATTTTTTAAGGCAATCCTGATATATTCACTCTTACATTTTGATTGCTTGTTTTGTAATTCAGTCCAAAAAAACATGATAGCTTGTATTTTCTTTTATTTTTCATGGGTCAGTACTTTTAGATGAAGTTAGGTTAACTAGACGATTAAGTCTATAGCTGCTCACATCTGCTTTCCATACAAGTATTATAATTTTGAGAGAGGTTTCTAATAAGAGAGATACTATTTTTCTTGAAATTTCTTAAATTAGACCATAGGAGAGTGTTCAAATATCCACCAGTTCCCAAGGCTGATGACCATTAAAAAGCACTGACACACTGACTGTTTTTTTAAGCTACTTGTTACTTCTTATGAAAAAAAAAATAACAGTGTAAATGAGACAGAAAAAGAAGGCATGTTTTATTGAAAAAGTTTCCAATTATTTATTCAGTCTGGCCTTGCAAAAAAGTGATACCTTTTCTTAATCTGAATCCGATGATTCCCTGTGGTATGCAAGAGGAGCTGGACTAGGTACTCCCATTGTGTTTAATTTATTTTGTGTATTGTTTGTTAGGCTAAAATAGCTGGCACAATACATGGTAGCTGTCCAGATTGTTATACTTTGCATTTTTTTTTTGAAAGACATCTATATCACAGCTGTTTGTTTCCAGTCCATGGATTTTCAGAAACAATTGTTATGTCATTTAGTAAACTCATCAGTTAATTTCCACAGATGCGTATCATCTGGATTTACTGATTTGCATAGATTTAAATGTTTCAATGCCAGACCCTTTTTTTTCCTCAAATGTTACAAAAACCTCCACAACATTTGTGACAACTAGGGGTAATTTTCAAAAGTGCCTTCATTCCATTTTGAAAAAGGATTTCTCAAAAGTTTGTCTTTCATTCTGTGAGATTAATAGTATAGGCAGGGAGAATTAAGGTGGACAAAATTAAATTAGTGCTATGGACGTATATTTGCAATAACCAGAATAGGTGTGATAAATTTGATATCAAAATAGCTTCTGTCCTGATTTGGCCTCCTTGAAAATGCTATCTAAGATTATCTGCTCTGCTCGGGTGTGGCCTGACTTCAAATATTGTGAGCAGATTTGGCTACCACAATAGAAGAGAGACTATTAGAGAGCATCTAAATTATTAGGGAGCATCCAAAGAATGACAGTGAAGATGGTGAAGGGTCTTGAAGGGAAGCCAGGTGAGGAATGGCTGAGGTAACTGCATCTGTTCAGCCTGGAGAAGAGGAGACTGAGGGGAGACCTCATGGCAGCTACAACTTCTGCAAGAGGGGAAGAAGAGGGGCAGGCACTGATCTCTTCTCTGTGGTGCCCAGTGACAGGACCAGAGAGAATGGCCTGAAGTTGTGTCAGGGGAAGTTTAGGTTGGATGTCACGAAAAGGTTCTTCACCCAGAGGGTGGCTGGGAACTGGCACAGGTCCCTCAGGGTCACAGCACCAGCCTGGCATAATTCAAGAAGTGTTTGGACAATGCTCTCAGACACCTGGTGTGACTCTTGGGGATAATACTGTACAGGGCTGGGAGTTGGACTTGATGATTCTTGTGGGTCCTTTCCAACTCAGGATATTCTAGGATTCTGTGATTACAGCTACTTATTTTTTTATCTTGGTGAAGACAAAGACTTGCAGAAAAAAAACCAGCAATGTTTTCTCAACTAATTTCTCTAAGACTGATGCACATGTTTTGTAAATGCAGCATGGGAATAAACCCTCAGCCAGAGGAGAGCACATGTGGTCCTGTGGGCAGATCAGGATTTTAAGTGCAGATCACATTGAACGCTTTTAAACTCCTGCTTGCTGGTTTCTGGATCATGAATTTGTCCTCTATTATTTAGGGAGGCAGTTGATAAGGCACATTCAGCTGTATTTGTTATACACCAGATGTCAGGATAGTTAAAGTCACTCATGCTTCCTCTTGTTTTAAGCTCCTCAGTGGTTGGTCTGGGATGGCTTGCACTTGCACATTTGCACACACACATGCACACACACTATAATTTTCAAACCAGAGTGTGTGTTGTGTATCCTAAATATTCATCTGATTTCCCATAACACCAATTCCTAGTGACTGGCAGCAAGCACACTGGATAATACCTGTGTTTTCAGCTGAACAGCTTGGGGTAATCACTAGAAATCTTGGACTTTGCAAGTATGTTTTACCCTTGCACTACTCCTTACCATCCCTTCATCCTTTCTCCTTCACCAGCAGTAACACTTGCTCCCTGCAGGCTTATTTGCAATAGCCATGCCAGTAGATCTGAATGCCTTTTAAGTAAAATGGAGTATCAGCGGTTGGTGATGTCTCAGAACTCAAACTGCACATCTGAGATGTGCAGTCATGTTTACATGCTTATTCAGTGTTTTCCTGTCTTTGTCAGTTTTCTCTGTCCTGAAAGTAAATAATTCTCCCAAGTGGTGCCTACAAGAGCTACCATTCATTTTTGTGTGTCACTGAAGAGCTGTCAAATGCAGCAGTGACCACATTTTTGCAGTGGGTGAAACAAAGCCTCTGCATACCATCTGCAAGGATCCTTCAGAGTGGAGTGTAATCAGCAAATATGGCCTATAATTTGCTGACATCTAAGCATGCATTTTGGCACATACAGATTTGGGAAAAATGAAGGAAAAACAAAACCCACGTATTTTGCTTGCACAGTCTTTTTATTTTAAGAGAAGTATTTTTTCTTTTTACACACCCAAATGAACCTTTTTGTCTTTAATGTATCCATCTTTCTGTCTCCTCACCAGGCCACCTGTGGAAGACAGCCAAACCCTGCTGACACCCGTGGTGAGCTGTGGCCCACCAGGAGCCCTGCTAACCCGGCCCGTCATTTTAACCATGCACCACTGCGCAGAGCCAAACACAGAGGACTGGCAGATCCAGCTGAAGCACCAGGCTGCCCAGGGACCATGGGAGGTGAGGCTCCAGATCTCCAGTCTGTGTGCTGGCTGCATGCAGGACTCTCTGCTAGTCCTTTACTTGCCTTTCTGAACCTGGATGCCTGTATTTTGGGGTTTCCATGACTGCTACAGGCAGGCAGAAGTGCCCTTCCCTACAAGATGTCTAAGCTGCCGTGTGCCCATGCAGAGATCTGCCCTGGGGCACTTTGGCACCTCCTAGTACTAGCAGGTTTGCAAGGTGGGAGCCCTAGGTGGTTCCTTGCCAGTAGTATAGCAGCAGAATGTCCCAGGGCAGTGTGGCAAAAGGATCTTCCCACTATAACTGGAGAACAAATTGATGCTTTCAGCAGGGCTGAGCCATCTTGACAGAGCCCTCCTTTCCAGCTCTGTGCTCCTAGGTCCCTGCTGCCGCCAGTTTGGTCTCATAATTAATTTGGCAAGGGTATTTTCTCCTACTGGTAAGTTTAATAAGGTCAGGGTGGCTTCTGAAGGCTACAGTTGGGCTGACAGCAGCAGAAGTACCATGTCCAGCCAGCATTGTCTTCAAAAGCCTCTCGTGTTTGGCCTCCTGCCTGTGGCACTGGCTCTTCCTCCTGCTGGGAGGGACTGTGCAGCAAACACAGCTCTGTCTCGCCAGCCAATCTGCACCCCACAGCCCAACTCGTGGCACCACACGTGTTCCTGATTTGTGCCTGTGTCTTACTGGCACCTCTTCATTTTCCCCTCATCCTCCTCCTGCCCTAGGCACAGGTTGCTCTGCCAGCCCTGCACACACCCTGGTGTGTGTGCAGCATCCATGGGGCCCCTGGCCATCACACAGCAATCTTCTTCCTCCTGTCAGTTCTGGAGCAGCTCCTCCAAGCTGAGCCTCCCACACACGTGTGCACACACATTCATGCAAGTCCTGCAGCATCACTTGGGGCAGCACCTCCTGCCAGAGCCACGCCATGGAGCAGCACCTTGCCCTCCAAAAAGATTGTGCCACCACTGCAAACGTGGCAGGTTTGCCTCTCCTGAGACCAAGGGAGCCAAGCTTAATGCCTAATGCCAGCTGAGCCCACTCTTCTCAGCTGCCAGGTGTGTACATTGTCCTGCAGAGCTGCAGGCAGCAGGGATGAAGTGGACAGGTTGTGCTGAGCATCGTGTGGCATGTAGTGCCTTCGAAAGAGGCGTCTGTCACCTGCTGCTGACCTTTAGCTTTTGCTCCCTCTCAAAGCCATTCAAAGCACCTTGTGTTGTGTGCAGGATATTACACGCAGGGTTGAATGGAGAAATTAGCAGGGGAGCTGTTTTTCTGTACACCCAGGCCGGGGAGGTCATCTGCATTCAGGCAGTGTTTTGTTCCTCATCCTGCAGTCTCATCACAGAGGATTGTTCTGAGGAAGCAGCAGGTGATATTTCATATAGATGTGGTATTTGGCTGTCGCAGAGGTTGCTTCCCTTCCCTGAGTTTTTATAACTCCTTATTGTCGTGCTTAGGAGGTGAAGGGCAGTTATTTATTCAGTATGCCTGAGACTACTGATGCTGAATCATGGTCACCAAATGATTAGTTCTGCAATATCTCTTTCAATAAAAGTCTTGGTGGTATTTTCATTATTTGCCTAACTCTGTCCAGGGCTTTAAAACCAGAAGTGAAGACAGGGGGATTTTTGACCTCCAACATCATCACCAGCACCCCCGAGAAATCTGCTCTCTGTACCTACACAGGAGAAAAGCTGGAAGCAGGACATTTAAACCTTGATTAATCTAAGGGGCAAACAGCAAGGACTTTTTGCATCATCCAAGCTTGAAAGAGGTATTGCTGCCTAAAAGGAGAGTAGCTCTGAGGAGTCACATGCTGTAACTTGGCCTCTTTCTCTCTTAGGATGTGGTGGTGGTTGGAGAGGAAAACTTCACCACCCCGTGCTATATCCAGCTGGACCCAGAGGCCTGCCATATCCTGACAGAAACCCTCAGCACCTATGCCTTGGTGGGACAGTCAATCAGCAAGGCAGCAGCCAAACGTCTCAAACTGGCCATCTTTGGACCCCTGTCCTGCTCTTCCTTGGAGTACAGCATCCGGGTCTACTGCCTCGATGACACGCAGGATGCTCTTAAGGTGGTTCTTGATCTCTTTCTTGCTCTCCCTCTCCCTCCCCAGTTCTCACAGGACTGCAGTCATAGCAGAGAATGAACCCTCTGCTCTATCTATTCATGCTCCCTGGGTTATTTTTCTGATTAGAAGAAGAGCTTGACAGCAAGCTGCTGTTTTACAGTTTAACCCTCACATGTTATAAATTGTCCTTTGCATAGGAATCTCACACTGTTTTCCACCCACCAGTCCTTTTTCCTTTGTTTACCTGTATCATATCCTGAATACTAAGGTTTTTGCATTATTAAAAGGCCATAAGGTACACAGGGCTTCATTCGTTATTCATGTATTTTTAATGCTAAGTGCCAGCTCCCCAGAGATGGGAAAACATATAAATGCTTCTTTGTAAATACTTGATAATGATAAAAGAAGCTTCTGGCCCGTTAATCACTGCCTGCTTTCATACTGCTTTATTACACCCCTTTGCGTGCAGCTTTTTGTGTTGGGAATTCACTACTGGAGTAAAGCAAAGCTGCTGCTATCCATAACTGGATAACCTTACTCTCCCTGGTAATTCCGGCATTCCCACAAACACACACTCACTATGTGCAGATGAGCAGAGAGATAACCATACCTGCTATTTCTCTTTAAAAATACCTGTATGTATACAGAAGGTATCTATAAGAGATGCACTCATAAAGTATGTAGTTCCAACTGCACAACCGAGTTTGTTAAAATGTGAGGTTTTTCCTTTAGCTGTAGATAGTGCTACTGCAAATCTTTGTGGCAAAGTGATTTCAAAAGACTACTCTGACTAAGCAGAGTCATCCTGCTGCTGTACATGCTTTTTTTCCCCAGGTCTAGGTGGGAATTCTTGGGATTTAAACTCAAATACACTAGCTGGGAGATGTTTGTGTTTTTCAGAACAGTGACTTCCATCACTGAGTGCAGCACACTTGGCTGTTCTCACTGACACTATCTGATATTGCCTGCCTAGGCTTTACTGAGGGGGTGCTCTTGTATATATAAGAAAGGCAACAAATTATAAGGGTGAAGCAGGCACATGGGGACTTCAGCATGGTTTTGTCCTCTGGTTTTGTCCTCCTTTTTTTGGTCTCTGTCACTGCATCAGTGAAACAATCAGCCTTTTAGAAACAATTATTTTCCCTAATCTGATTTCCCTTTGTTTTTCCTATTAAAAAAAAAAAAAAAAAAAAAAAAAAAAAAAAAAAGTGGAAAGGATCTTTCACAGCTATCAAGCTTCAAAGGTCCTGATGATTTTATGCCTATGCTGCATAATACAATTTTCCATGGATTTGACAAGGCCTGAGGTAATAATAACTGAGTTGTAGGGGCCTTGGCTAGCCAGCTAATGCAGTCAGAGCTGAGGAATCTAATTAGGAATTACTCAGGAGCTGTTGGTCTGTTTCTAATAGACTGTAGGGAGAGTTGTGTGGTAAAGTTAATCCAATCCAGTGCAACAGCAGAAGGGATCAGGAAAGGCACACAGGTGAACCATTCTTCACCTGAGAAGCTGCAGCCAAAATCTGGGAGGGCAACAGGTCAGTCCTTGGGATCCTGCTGCAGTTAGGCCCCAAAGTGAGACTGCAGATTGGTGAGGAAAGGTGAGCAAAGTCAGGAGGCCACCATCCAACTCAGTAGCTACTGTTTTTCCACGTCAAGTTCATGCATTCTAATTTTCTTTCTCTTTGGCATGTCTACCCCAAGATGTGTGTGTGGGGGGGGGGGGGGGGGGGGGGGGGCACCCATGGAGTTCAAGACCCAGTCAGCTGGTGGTTTGCAGGTGAACAAGCACATCTGCTTTCTGGCCACAGACTCTTATGAATGCATGAATTGCACTTCTTTGGAAGTGTAAGGTCTGGGGAAGGAGAAGATTGAGAAAAAAGAAGCCTAGTAAGCCAGCAGTAGATGGAAGTGCTGTCTATGGACCAGTGTGTCCATAGGCATGTACGAACTGGTACATACAAACTAAACATCCCCCTGTGACAGTGTTGTGTAGACTCAGTCTATGACTAGATAGAAGAAAAAAGGGGTCGGGCATTTGGCATGTGCTTTCACAGCAGCTGGTGCTACAGCAGCCCCTGCCATGCTGGGAGGACATCCTTGGCACTGCTGTATCACCAAAGGAAGGCATTCACAGAGCAGTTACCACTGGGTGTGGGGACAAGGCGTGCAGGCTGGGCCAGCCGATCCTGAGGTTAGAAGTATTTCAGAGAGGAAAGAAAAGCTGTAAGCAGCAGGTGAAGCACCAGCTGCAACATCTCCATGTCTTGAGGCTGACAGCTCCAGGCAAAGCACAGAAAGGGTAGGGAAGAGCAATGTTCCCATATTGCATTGCCTGAGCTTTGGAAGAGCCTTTGTAGGGGATCATGTGTATTTTTTAATAGACAATCAAAGGCATTCTGTTATTATTTACAACCAGGAGTGAGTGTGCCATATGCTGACTGTGTTTTAACAGCCACCAAAGGAAGACAAGTAGCTGCAGTATAAAGCTCAGAGCAGTGTTTACCCAGCAGACTGTCCCCTCTCATCATGCAGAGTAAGCGCTCGCAGCTGAGCTGCCAGCTCCCGCAGTACAGCGGGGAAGTGAAACGATTTGCCATCAATAAGGGCTCGGTTATTGTGGGAGCAGCTTAGTGAGGTTCCTGGTGGCTGTGGAGCAGGATGGGCTCGGTGCTGATCACACATGCAGTATCCTCTGCCCCACAGAGTCCTGAGCCACCTGGATGAGACTCTCACAAAAATGCTTTTTGGGCAAGGATGAGGGGAGTTGTGACCTTGAGTGCTGGCTTCTTTTTTTAAGTCTAATTTTTGCACTTTGAAGGGGATGACCAAGGTTAAAAAGAAAGAAAAAACAGAAAAAGAAAAAAGTAATAATATGATAGCTATAAAGAAATCCATCTGCTTTGCTCTCTTTATTGATGTGTGCCTTTGAGATTAAGGTATGTGACCTGTGTGTGGCAGAGTGGCAGGAGCTGAGCAGCCAGATACATGGGAACAGCTGCCTCCCACACTGGGGGCATGTGAAGGACTTCAGGCTGTAGCAGGGTGACATTCCCCAGCCTGTCTTGTGCTGTGCAGTAACTGTCTTCAAAAAAAACACCCAAAAATGGGCACAATAGGCCTGTGATCTTCTCTCTATAGTTTAATGCGTATTTTTTTCCTTTTATTGAAGAAAGACACAGCTTCAACTGAACACCATAGTTTGCTTGGGCCCCTTTAATGAGGAGGCCCAGGCTGAGGCTGTTCTGGTGTCATGGGTGATGGAGTGATGATTTACACAGCTCCCTCTCCTAGGAAATAACTCCTGCCTTGCAGGGTGGTGAGAGACAGTGGGCAGGATGACCACAGCCACCTCAGCATGGGGCAAGAAATATGCAGTTCAAGTTTTGGCTCAGGACGACACAGAGGTGCCAGCCAGTGAGATAAGCACTGCTCCAAAAAAAGGTCATATGGCAGGAACCAGCAAGCATGTTTGAAGAGCTGTGCAAGTCATGGCTCCAAATTAATTCTGAATTAATTAGCTAAATGGCATGGGAGAAGCAAGGGCTGCTTGGCATCCTCCAGTTAGAACATGTGGAAGGGCTACAGTAGCCTAGGGTGGCTACCAGAAGTGAGTTGTTGAAACTAAACACACAGATCTGGTGGGTGGGGTGATGCAGCATCATGCTACAGTTTTTCCCCACAGTAGTGTATCTCCCAGAGCTGGTGCAGCAGGGGCAGGAGCAGCTTCTCAGCACACCTGCCCCGCTTGCCTGAGAGGTGGCATCTGCAATTTGCTCACACAGTCCACAAGTCATCCTCCGGACCTTCCAGGGAGGTAATTGGAACATAATGAAGATCTATAGTAATCAGATAATTACTATCGATTACTCTTTAGACATCTTGATGAAGTAATTAGGTGGCACTGGAAAGGAGCTGGAACTGATTCATTGGCATAACCTTAATCTGAAAGGTTTCCTAATTTTGTTTCTTTTCCTCTAATAGCCAATAAAAGAACATTGGTTTAGCTTCAGAATCTGCCAGATGCTTTTCTTATATGCTTACTACCTCCCTAAATGTGGTCAGGAGCAGCTTAGCTAAAATGGGGGCTTCTTTATTTGGCCTGGGGCAGAATCCCAATGTTGTGTGCTCCTGTATTTTAGAGCATCTCCACTGTGTATGATTGTCTTTAGCCACATGAGACTGGTTGGCTGGTTGACTCCTTTAATTAAATGTGACTGAGATCGGTTATGTTGGTTTCTAATGGGGCTCCTGGGGCCTTTATACTAGCTTCTTCCATGTGGTCCACAGTTAGGCTCTTTGTAGATAACATTCCACTGTGGTTTTATTAATGTCAGGCTTATATTTAGCTTCATAAATGACCAGACTCTTGTCTTGCTAGCTTTTGATCACATGATCAATATTTCAGTAGCACTGAACCTGTGTATTCGTATGAATAAAATACTCCATCACTGTCTCCTGGGCTGTTTCCATGCCATCCTGCTGGACAGTGTCAGGGTTGGTATCTGACTCCTGTACTGCTCTGCCACAGGGCAGGAGACCATGAGCTGACAGACCAGTGGTATGCACCGGTAAGAGTGTCCAAAAACAAGATAGTAAAGCTACCATGAGACGTCCAGTTTGATGAGCAATGGAGACTGATCTATTTCTCTACTCAAACAGTGACTGCATGCCAAGTCTTCGAATTCCATTTAATAGCATAGAATTGAGCTTCTGCTCATAGGACACGTGAGAGAACACTGTGTCTCTCTTCTGGGCTGCTGCTGGATGAAGGAGGTGAGAGGGTTATAATCAGATCAACTAATGCAGTTCCAGTTCACATGGTCACACAATTCTGTGTGATGCCTGTGTATTTTTTTAATCTGTATTACACAAGTTACAGCATCTACAACACAAAACCTTGAGGACTCAGAAGACCAGTGTGCTGTCTTGATGAAACCTACTTTCTTCTTTTTATCCCAATACTGCAGGAGGTCCTCCAGCTTGAGCAGCAGATGGGTGGGCAGCTTTTGGAAGAGCCTAAAACTTTGCATTTCAAGGGAAGCACCCACAACCTTCGTCTGTCCATTCATGACCTCGCCCATTCTCTCTGGAAGAGCAAGCTGCTGGCTAAATACCAGGTGAGCATAACAAAACATTCACATTGGATGCTAGCAGTGAGGCTTAAAGAAATTCTGTCACACACAGGTGTGTTTAAAAAACGCCCGGAGTCAGGCTGTAGTTCCATGGACATTTTTTTCCCCTGGATCATTTGCAGTCCCATTAGCATGGAGTCTGCAGTCTCTGGTCATGTAACAGCCATGCCTTGGTCCCACATCCCTCCCTGACTATACTTTTTTGCTTTCCTCCTGCAGGAGATTCCCTTTTACCACATCTGGAGTGGCTGTCAGAGGAACCTGCACTGCACCTTCACACTGGAAAGGTTCAGTCTGAGTACCCAGGAGCTGGTGTGCAAACTGTGTGTGCGGCAGGTTGAAGGAGAAGGACAGATCTTCCAGCTTAACTGCTCTGTCTCAGAGGTAAATGACATTTGTGTATTTTTCTATCCAACTGCAGGAATATGGGACAGCTAAGAAAGTAAAACTTTCCCCATTGGGACCTCTTTAGTGCTTCCCATTTTGATCCTGACTGCTGGTATGGACATAAAGAATAGATTAAGTCATTTCTTTGTCTCTCCTGTTACATTTTTCCTTGGTTTCTCTCATCTGGAAGCAAGCATCTCTCCTTCAAGGGTGGGAGGAGAGCAACTTTAGTCTCTCTCTGCTAGTGCTGCCTTTCTGTGTCTATCTGGAGGAGCTCTTTGCCTACCACTCCCTAAAACATCTCATGAAGCTCTTGAAGTCCTGTTTCCTTGGCAGTCCATGAGACCCATCGTGTCAGATAGTTCCCTGGAAAAAGAGAAAAGAGAATAGGAAAATGTCAGTGCTGTGTGTTCCATGAGCCACTCCCCTCTGCTTTGCAATAGGAAATATCAGATGGTCTGGTTGCAGTAAACTTTCTGCTCATATTTTGCTACTACTACAAATCCTGACTTTTGTCTTTGGCAATTTTTATTTTGATGGCTGACATTTTTCCAGAAGAAATACTATCATAAGTTTGCTAATGCTGTGTAGCACCTGGAGAATTTTTGCTTCATGGGACAGTTAAGCTTGGGGCTGAGATGGAGCAACAAATTTAGGTGTGAAGTAGCACTGACTTTAGTGTATGTGCTGGTGGGTTTTACCCCTGGTACCCTTGGCAGCTACGAGGAGCTGACTCAGGCAACAATCTGCTGGCTGGCTTGGGGAAGGGCTGTAAGAAGAGACAAAAGTTACTTGTTCTGTATACGGCTCTGACAGTGAGCACCATTACCTATAACATCTGCTTGGTTAGTGGGTGTAAAGCAACAGATTCATCTGGGGACTATACAGCATTAAGGACAGATGGTAAAACAAGCATCATAAACAATTATTGTAATAAGTGCTGCATTGAGGTAATCACTAATTTAACCTCCCAGAGAAGAGAAAGAACTGAAAGTAACTTTAATGAAATGCAAGTATACACTATAATCATCTTCAGCTGGTTCTATGTAACAGGGCCTGGTAATAGATTCCGAACAGGATAATATTCTTGTCTTGTGCTGTGATCCTATCCATCAAGGATGAATAGAGGGAGTGAATAATACCACTGTGATCAAGGGTGCCTTCTGCAAAATTGCCCCTTGTTGTTGACACCTTGTGATATTCCCAAACTCCAGCAAGGAACTGGAGGACCTTGGGCTGTTAAGAGCTGGAATATAGGGTCAACTAGGGAAAAATCCTATAACTCAAAGATTTTATGGAAGGGTAATCACCTGAAAGGGTAATAACTGCAACTTGGAAACCAATGTATGCCTCTGGAAGTGTGATAAAGATATCAAACCAGGCATCAGGAAATCATAGCTCTGGTTCCTTACATTTTCTTCTGAGGTTATGATAGTGGTATCCAGCTAGCAGTTAAGCATTGAAGGATTTTGCTGGAATCTTTCCTTATTGCTGCATCTGTCTCTCTGCCACTGTTACCCTGCGATAAAAATCCAGTAACACAGTTTCCTGCATCCTCCCTTGATGGGCTTTTCTTTTTAGTCCCCTCCAAAGGATGTAAAACTTCTGCAGATTAAACTCTCTTATACTGCCTTTATACTGTGTCTACCACTGGGACTTCAAAAATACAAATGCAATGAGTGCCAAAACAGGCACATTTGCAAAGCAGGAGGAAAATTGTGATAAAGGTCTCACAAGATTCATTTTTGAAGCCCTGTTTTTATCCTGTGCCATTGATACTCACACAAAAGAACCACTGGGCAATGCTTCAGATACCTGAGCCCCTTCTGCAGCAATCCTGAAGCCCCTGGGGCTGCAGGCCACCTAGAGAGCCAGGGCAGCACTCATGTCCTTTGGCCCAGAATATAAAGAAAGGTTATCTATCTGCAATGTCACTGCCACCACTTACTGCCACTTCCGACCTCCCAGCGTGGGTGAGCCGGCAGGCAGCACCAGTGTCAGGCACGTCATTTTCCTGGCTCCTGGGCAGTTCCTGCTGCCAGGCTGTTATGTATTGGGGTTGGGAAAGGCAGTCTGTGATCCAGGGCCTTGGCACCCAAGTACAGATGCCACATTCAGCATGTTAATTGAGGACATTACAGGGTGGCGTAAACCTTCCTTGGTTAGAAATTTCAGTGATTGCCTAAAATGCCATGCCTTTAATTAAAAAAAAATCATATTTATACAGTGGAAGAGAATTTATATTTATACAGTGGAAGAGAATTAATTGTTGTAGATAAAAAGAGTGGAGCCGGAAGATTTAATTCTGTGCATTGCTCATGGACACTGGCTCTTCCCTTTCCATCTCTGAATACATTTTTGGGGAGTAAATCAGAGATTGCACAGGACAGTGAGCATCTCTAGCAAAATCCTTGGGGGATTTGTGGTTGCAGTTTCAGCCAGGAGCTGCCTGTCTTTAAGACTGTTTCAGGTATTACACCTCCTTCCCAACAGCCAGTTTGACATGAAGCAACAAGATAGTTCACAGAGGAGAAAACAAATTGATACTTAATGACAAGTCTTTAGCATAAGTGTTTCTGGCTGCCTGGGGCTGTGATCTGGCAGAGGGGGAGGAGAAGGAGCTCCCCCACTTCTACTAGAAAAGAATACCAAATTGTAAATTAGACTGAGCAGAATTAGGGCAGAACCAGCCATGTTTGCTGCTTTTTCCATCATGGGCCCTGCAGGACCTCGCTGTTCTTAAACAAACCCAACCATCCAAATAGACCAGCTATCATCTTCCCACCAGCTACCAAGCCTGTGGCCACTAAATCCATCCAGGCCAAGGAGAAGACAAAATCCTTGCCCAGAGGAGCCAATTGCTGTTATTCCCAGTGGTGTTAGCAGTGGTGTCATGGGGACCCCTCCAGCTGGGAGGACCACATCAAAGAGCACCAACACCACACCTGCAGGGGACAAGCCGGCTTTGGGGATGACTTTTCCTGTGAAACACTTGCTGCCACACTACCTTGGAGCACAGCACATGTCTTGGGGAGAGGGGGTAATGCCTGCTCCCCACCTACCCCACCCCTTGCCCAGAGAACATGCGCTCCATCTATTTCCAGAGCCAAAGTCACATGAAGATGAGGGCTCAGCTTGTGCCTGGGATGGTATTGACTGTCTGGCTGTGGTCTGCACAGCATTAGAGGCTTTAGAGAGCTTGGGTACTGCCAGAGGGATGTCAGTAATGCAAGCCTGGTGCTGGCTCGGTGTGACACTGGGACTTGGGGAAGATGGTGGGAAGAGAGTCTCGTCAGTCATGCCAGGAAATCCTAGTTCTGTTCTAGTAGTATCAACCTGCTCCAAAATGTGTCTAAGTGACTCATCCTTCATTATTTCTGGAAAATGCTTAATTAAACTTAATTAAATTAATTAAAGCCATGTTGTCCACCTATAGTAATATTCACGCTCAAAAAAAGAGGAGGGAAAAAACCTTTTGTCTACCCAAAGCTGATTATAAATATTACTGTTCTCCAGTGGACTAACATGTTTATGTTAGTGTTTACTAGATTAGCAGAGAGCTGCAAGTAAAAGCCCTGAGTCTCAGAGGATGTAGCTCTGCAATTGTCTCTTCACTCAGTAAAAGAAAATTGATGGGTTGTTTCAGGCTTTTTTTCTGTCTTTCCAATCTCAGGAACCTACTGGCGTTAATTATCCTCCCATGGACTCAGCAGGCACCATCACCACCATCGTGGGGCCCAGCGCTTTCAGCATCCCCCACCCGATAAGGCAGAAGCTGTGCAGCAGCCTGGATGCGCCCCAGACCAGAGGCCACGACTGGCGCATGCTGGCCCACAAGCTGAAACTGGACAGGTGAGCAGGGTTGCCCCTACACAGTCAGGCAGGGAAGCTCCTAGGGAGGGGGGTATGTGCAAAAACATCCTGGTGAAAGTCCCACTGAAAGCACATGGGCACTCTGGTCATGCTGACAACACAGGGGATGAGCACCTTGACAGCACCAACAACAGGGATGGGTTGAAATCATATGAATTCAGGTCGTTTCTATGCAGCTCAAAACCAACGAGTTTCCTTTTGGCTCATTGCAGGTACTTAAATTATTTTGCTACGAAATCAAGTCCCACTGGGGTGATCCTGGATCTCTGGGAAGCCCAGAATTTCCCTGATGGCAACCTGAGCATGCTGGCAGCAGTTCTTGAAGAAATGGGAAGACATGAAACGGTTGTTTCTTTGGCAGCAGAAGGAAATTACTAATGCAGCCTTGGCATGACCAGGAAGGACAGACACAGGGAGCGGTAATGCCCTGTTATTGCAAACGAGAATTGAAATGAAAACCCAGACCAATGAGTTACACAAGAGACGTTTCAGAGAAGAAAGCAAGAAAACAAACAAAAAAACCAGCCCTGACCTTCACACGTGCTCTCCTTGTACATTATCACAGGATCAGAAAGAGATCATGCAAAGTTGTACCTTGAAAATATAAATCAACGTAATGTTCCTCTCGGCTTGGCTGTACACTGCTTGGTACAGGTTTTTACAGTTTCCTAGGAAACGCTTTTTATTGCTATCCAGATATATGGATAAACTTTCTTAACAATCCCAATTTCTATGGATGTTGTTTACATCAAATTCTGGACAGGGGTAAGGAAACTGTCCATGGCTCTTTATATTTTTTGTTTAAAGCCATTGTAGACAAGACTATGGACAGTTGGTTGTGGCTATTTCAGCTTATTGGTTTCTGGTGAATTCAGAATTTGGCTACAATTCTGCACATTAGTTGTCTCACAATGATCCTCCTGTCATTGTTCTGTTTCCTAGACCTACTTGTAAAAAAAAAAAACAAACCAAGAAAATCAGGGTGTGCATCTGGAAAGCAGGTACTCTGGCTGATTAGCAGGAACACACAAAATGTTCCCTTTCTTCCCCAAGACAGTCCCACTGAGCCTGTGTGGAGAACAGCTCTAAGACTGTGGGGAATGAAGGATCTGAATTAATTTTCAATTCACACCCTTTCCACCCCTTTGCTATATGAGGGGCCAGATATGCAATTCAGAGTGGTTAGAGAGGAGGGGGAGAAACCCAGAAAAAAATAAAAAAAAGAAGTTGCTATGATAGTTATTTACTGATTAGTATTTAGTGCAAGGATTATAATGACTATTATTATTGCCATATTACTTTATTTCTAATATTGTCAGCAGCAAAATGAATAATTTCTGGTTTTATGGAACCTTTTGTCCCCTTCCTGAAGGTCTTTTAAGACATGTCCCTCTCTATGCTGTCTGTCCTTCCATTTGTCATCGTACTTCTCCTCCAAAGTCCTCTGCTGGCCTTCTGAGGCTGCTCACATTGTATTAGCATTGCTGTGCTCCATGCCCAGTGCTAAGGCAGCGTAATTTGGTAATCTGCTGGTCTTCACCCACCAAGTGTCTGACCCTGGCACCACCACCCTAGTGCATCCAGGTTGCTCCAAGGAGCAGTCCTGTCCTGAGGTGGCTGTGAACCAGAGATGGTGCAACCATGTGGAGGCAGTGACATCCTCCACCTGATTTATGCATTCAAGGTGGGCCTCCATAAATTTTGCTTTGTTTTGTAGCATTCTAAGGGCCAGCAGTTCCCAATAGAGCTGCAGGTCTCACTGAAACCCACCAGCTCCAGCTGTGCCAGGCTGCTGACAGCCCAGCCCCTCTGCTGGTCTGGGGTCACTTCTGTGTGAGATGCACTTGGCAGATCTCCATGGATATTCCAGGCACTGCTGCAACCAGGGAAGCCTGTGTTCTGTGGGCCAGTGCAGGGCAGTGGAGTGGTGAAGCTGAAATCCTGTGTGCTGCAGTTTGCTGCCTTTGCTGCTCCTGCCACCACCACTGCCTGGGCAAGGCGGTGCAGTCCTTGATGACTGGCCAGGGAACACTTGTCCCTCTACAACCCTCACAAAACAAGTGAGGTGGGAACTTTGCAAAAGGAGTAAACCAAAAATGGTTGTCACTGCAAATGTATTTTGTTTGGGCTTTGACAGCACATAAGATTGCAATACTTTTACTACCTGACTGAGCTGTCATTTATGTCTGGCACAGAAAGGCTTTTCTGTCCCAACCTGTCCACTCCAGGTTTTCAGCCAGGCCCTGGTTATTGCTGTTGTGCACACATGCATGCCCCTGCCCACATATGCATTACCATTCCAAATGCTTCCCGAGACTGCTTGTTCTCTTTTGTGGTTTTAGTTTTGCTTTCCCCAGGGCTTTCCAGATTGCACCTTTGAAGGTAACTGAAAATGTCATCAGTCAAAATGAAAAGAAAATTTAATCTGACCTCTTTTTCCATTTGACATTTCCATAGCTTTGTAACTTTTTGCTTATAATTCCCTGACCAGTGAGTTAGGTTTTGATTGACCACCAGACAGCCAGCACAAAAAGTTCACTTCCTTGTAAGAGGTAACCAGGCAGTTTGCAAACCAGCATTTCAGTCAAAACTGGAGACCAGAGGGCATGCACTGTAATTTTCAACATCTGTGTGCATTTTGCTTGTGTAAGCCCCACCTGCTCTTAATGTGGAGATGCCATGGGCATCCTCTCAATGAACAACAATCTTTTTCACCTGGGGCATCTGGTGCAGCCTACTGCAATGCTAATTGAAATTTTGCTTTCAACTTCTGAAAAGTTGGACTGGGACTTTCAGCTCTGCCCTTTCCCCACACCTTTTACTTACCTCAGAGTGCTAAAATGGCTCTTAAAGGTAGGTCTCAGATTTTCTCCTTCCCATGCCATCTTTAGTTGCAATCAGTTGTGTTTTAATTTGTGCTTCTTCACCTTTCCCATGTGTCCCTCCTTGACTTCTCTCCCAAGGCAAGTACAGGAGCTGAACTGTCCTTAAACCCTTTGGCCTTTTCAGCTCAGTCTGTGTTGGTTGATCCCCAGGCTAAGTGTAGCTCCCCAGCTCTCAGTTTTTTCTGGGTGGGCAGCATGTGCACCCTTCTCACCAGGATCAGGGCCACAGAGTCTCCTATTGATCTGTGTGCTATGAGTTGATGCTCCTTTGGCTGTCTGACCTGCGTTCTGATGCCTTCTGCAAGAGAAACTACTTGCAGATGAACAGCTTTTTCACAGTGTTTTGGGGCATTTTCCTTTCACAACATCACAGTAAAGAGGATTTATTGTGAGGAAAAATGCACACTCTGATTAAGAGGAGCATCCACAGAGGTGGCTGAAGGTCAAGAATGTAACCCTTCATCACTGAACATGACTTGGGCAGCAGCATGACTGCCACTGGGGGATGAAGCTGCTGTTCTTCCACCCTGACTGCTCAGAAACCACCCGCAATCCCCTGCTGCAATCACGGGCTGGGTGATTTTCCCAGCACGAGCTCCACAGGCCTTTGCAGGCTCCCAGCACAGCCCTCGGGCTGCCCCAGCCCTGACAGGGCAGGGAGAACCAGGGGAAGGCTCCTCCTCAGAGCCACAGCTCATCCCAGCAGCTCTGCACCCATTCTTTGCCACTGCTGCTAACAGCAGCTCCCACCTCACCTCACACTTCCCTGCATTAATTTTGCTCTGTTTTTCCTTTCTTTCTGGCGGAGTGGCAGTGGCAGGGCACTGTGCCACTGGCTGGTGGCATTCACAGCACCATCCCCATCCTCTGCCCCAAGGAGAGCAGGCAGGGAGAAAGGGCAGCCAGCTGGGTTGAGGATATTATTTTTTGGTGGGAGAAACCCCAGCAGCAGTTCCTGTGCCTGGATTGCATGGACACAGTGCCATCTCGTGGGGCTGAGCCCCAGCTCCACCACGTCGCTGCCGCCACAGCAGCGTCGCACGGGGAAAAGCTTCCCGTGGGGTGGCTCTGACAAAGGAGTTTGGCAGGCAGAGCTGACTCTTAAAAGTTGTAAGATTTTATGTCAGGTGAGCATATCTGCTTTAAGAGAAAAAAAACAATCAAACGAAAAAAAGGCTGCAGGCTTCTCATCCTCCAGTTATTACTATTTTTTTAAATGCTCTTCCTTTTAGTTGTTCACCTTTGGCTCTGTACTGGAGCAGTTTTGCTGCTCTTCACACCATCTCTTCATTACATGTTGATTGCTAGTGCTATAAATAGTATATATACTATATAAATATATATAAAATATCTACTGACTTCAAGGAAAACCTTTAAGTTCCCAGTAAGAAACATTTATCAGAGGCAATCCTTTTCACCTTTTATTTTTTCTTCAGTTCTTCTTGTGTTGTGTCCTTGTAAAGGTAACTGTCAGTGTATAGGGTAAGTCTGGGGTTTGGTTGGGGCTTTTTTTTTTCAAAATTTATGATCACAACTGCTCCACTGTGTCTTGCTAAACAGTACAAAACCTAAGTGCTGTTTCAGTGGATCTTGAAAATTTTGCAGCAGTGAAGGTGTCTCCAGTCAAGATTTGCTTTATTGGGAGACCAAGACTTTTTTCTGTCTTGCTGGCAGAAATGCAGACACTCATGAGACATGTTGGAGTCTGCAATACCCACAGAGCCAAACATGTCTATTCCTTGGGTTTCCTGCTATTTCAGTTGCTTACATATAGAATAAATGTATTTACATGCTGTAAGCCTGTCATTGTGGACAGTGTCCTAATGTCTTGTATTGCTACCTACAATACTTTCTTTTCAGTTCTCCTTTTCCTCTTCTTTTGGGGGCAGGGGTTGTGGGGAAGGGAGGGGTGGGTGGGCCCTTAGACCCTTGTATGCTCTACCAAGTAGTTACCACAGCTCTGAGGTTAATTTTAAACACAATTTTGTTGAGGTTGGCTTGGGTTTTTTAATCTTGTTTCCAGGGCACTTTGTAAACAAATCTTACTGAGTGTTCAGAAGTCTTTTCAGGACTCAGAGGATCTCTGACTCTCACCTGGCCATGAAGTAACTCAGTTGTTGCAGGCTGGCTTGGTCAGTATCAGGTGGTGCAAAGGCACGAGTGGTCTGTGAATGGAAACCAAACCTTTGGCCCTTCTCCCACAAGGACTCTAATGAGTTACTGACTTTGGGGTCACCACTGCAATCCATTCCTAGCTTGTGTGTGAATCCTTGAGTCCATAAATGAGCTGCACTGCAGATTTTTAAATGCTAAAACACATATCTCAGACATCCTTTGAAGAGGAACAGATAGGCAAAGTAAGTGTGTGTGTGTAGATAGAGACAACAAGGAGGAAACAAATGACAATACCTACTGGAGACTTTTAACTCTCATGTTGGGTATGGGCATCCTCTTATTTTACCAACTTTTTAATGGGAAAGTAAAGGTCAAAATTCAATGCTGTACCATCACTGCAAGGTCAAATAAGTAGTAGTCAAAAGCCAACAGAGTAATAACTGGCATGTAACTAGAACTGGACTTGAACTAAAGCCACAAGTTTGGTAGGTCAGGCTCCTTGAAGAGGAGCACTTAGTTTCTTTACTTATTTGTCCTTTAAACTTGATCCCTGCTCCCTGAAATCTGAAAATCCCTCATCTGAAAGTCCTTTTATAAACTGTCTGTACAAAAAAAGCAACATTAATCCAGAGTTCCCACAAACTTCTATCCCAAATAGGTGTTTCATGTTTTCTATGGTGCTGGTTAAATGTATTTATTAGTGGTTCAGTCTCCTTGACTGCTGACAAAGAGATTAATCGCTATGTGTGCTGCGTCCTGGGCCTACCCTCTGCTCCCAAAGCATCCCATGTCATGGCAGGTGATAGCTTCAGGATGCCTGTAAGTGGGATGTCATCAGGAGGGTCCTCCCACAGCAGTGATAGGACAAGAGGCCTGAGAGGAGAAAACTTTGCATGGGTCCCACAGCTTCTTTTGCTGCTGCCAGCTGGCTGACTACCCCTTGCCAGTAAATTTGGGGGCTAGCACAATTCAAATAAAAAGCAAAATCGGTCTGGAAAGTAAACAAAATTAGGAAGGAGAAGCAAAACACTCTTCTCCCTGCAGATTTTTCAAGGTACCTTGCAAAAACACCCGAGCCGAGAGCCAATAATCCAGGGTGTGTGACACAGCTGAGACAAAGTAGTTGTGTCATCACTGTTTTCACACATCTGTGTGGTAGACTTTTTTGCTAACATATGTTCTGTTATTGTTGAAGAGAAAAAAAAAAAAAACAAAAACCAATAAAAGATGGTATCTTCAGTACCTTTTCAAAGTAAAGGAGGGCCCGTAGAAAAAGAAACAAAACATCTGTATGACCCAGGTGTATCACATATTTCCCTTCTGTTCCCATGTCACTGGGGTTAATGGGATTTGTTTTCTTTGCTATTCAGATCTGGAGAACTCTTTTGGTTTGATTTCCCTATTGCTGTATCTTCTATGCAATTCCTTTTCTAAAGACTGACTTACTACAGGAGAAGTGCTAGCCATTGCATTATTTGTATTGCTGTACAGTGGAGGTGTGGTTTACTAGTTCTGAGTGTGCCTCTTACCCCCCTCCCTTTTTTCTCCTTCCCTCTGTTTGTAAATGCCTGCATTTATTCTGTCAGCCTGACATGTACAAAGTGTAAGAAAGAATTTTTAAACAGGTAATAAATTATATTTATAAGCAACTGAAAAAAAAAAATACGCAACTACCTTGTGTTCAATTGTTTAGTTCCTGGAAGCTCAGAAG